CTCCGCAAACTGGGAGTTGTCGTGTGGATTAAGGAGCGCTATTGGGATACCCTGTGGAAAGGGGTCTAGCCCACGCAAATCCTCTTCCTTCTGCTGTTTCGCCAACTCATGCAAACGAGCGTTTATGTCCCCCTTCAATCGCTTGATTTCATCTGCGTTTAGAATGGGGTCCTTCCTTAGCTTCTGCATTTGTCGCAACATATCACATATCTTTGGATCTTTGAGGGGTTGCAGAACAGAGAGTTGGACGCCCTCTGGTGCAGCCTCAAGGTCATGCATATTTTCCATCTCCTGTGCCCTTGCAATCTCGTGTGCACGTTCAAGCAATTTCTTTTCCAGTCTCTCGATGGCTTCCGCATTTTTCTCTGGATCTTGAAGTTGAAGTGTGGCCAACTTCACTTCGAAATCACGGAAGATCTTGTCATCATTCAATGGGAGATCTTCTACATCGATGGTTTGAATTTTCTGCTGCAGTAAACGATCACGATTGCCTTGCAACACAGCCTTTGCCAAGCTATGAGCTCTCTGATCCATCTTCTTTTCAATAGCATTTGCTTGAGCTTGCATATTTGGGTTCTGCCTAATAGAACGAAACTCGGGAATAAGTTTCTTCATCTCCTCATCTTCTCGAACACGAAGCAAGGCTAATGGAATACCCTCAGGGTACTGATCCAGGCCTGCTAGATCCTTATCCTTAATATCGCGCGCCATATCCCGCACAACCCTATTAAGCTCATCCTCTATCCTGTAGATACTGTCTGCGTTACCAACAGGATCCTTTGCAATAAGCGACTGGCGCTTCTTCCACAATTCTTCGAAAATGGGATTCTTCATGAACTCAATGTCACTTAATGGGACGCCATTTGGCTCTTGATCCAAAAAGTAGAATTCTCCATATTTTTGTTCCTTAGCTAACTCGTCAAGGCGTTTGTGCATGATTTGTTTCAAATCCTCCCTAAACGATACAGAAGAATTACGCCTTCCTTGACGAAGTTTGGCAGCAGCAGCAGCGAACACTCTATCTTTGAATGGCTTAAGTTTCGCGATAGGAATCCCTTGGTAAGTCGCGTTCATTCCCTTAAGCTCATCATCAATCAACTCATGTGCAATTTTGCTGGCACGTTCGTTAAGGCGTCTTTCAAGCTCTTTAATAGCGGATGCGTTACCTACTGGGTCCTCAGCCTTCAAAATGGCCCGTTCCACTTCCATCTGATGAAACTTTTCGTCTGAATCCAGATCGAGGTCCTCTAAACAGGTTCCTTCTACATCCAGATGCAAATAATTCCTGTTACCTCTTAGCATGTTCCACGCAATTTCATTCGCCTGCTCGTTAAGTTGATCCTCTAACTTTTTTATGGAAGCTTTTATGCTGGAGTCCTGGTTAGGCATACTACGAAGGCAACGCAGCTTGTTCATCACTGAAGCACATTCAGGGTTATTGATTAAATTGAGAAGTTCCTTTGGTATTCCGGCCGGTGCATCATCTACAGCACACAAGTCCTGATCGATCTGCTCTCTGGCAAGCTCGCAAGCTCGTTTGGAAAGTTGTCCCTCAAGGTATGCGATTTTGTCTGGATTTCCATGAGGATCCTGCTGTCGTAGAACGGCCAATTCGATTTCCAGCTCTCGAAAACGGGGGTCATTATCGAGCGGGAGAATATTCAACGGGACCCCTTCCGGGTTCGGATCCAGAAACGCACGCCCCTTCTCAATTGCATCCGCGGCCATCTCGTCTGCCCGTTGATTCATTTGAGCGATAACCCTGTCCAACCTCTCATCCGATACCCCATTATGACGGAGCGCAAGAAGCTGCTTCTCAAGCTGCTTGAACTGAGGGTCCGTATCCAAAGGAAGCGCCGAGAGCGGGATGCCACGAGAATTTTGCTCAAGGCACGCAAGCGCGGAATTGCGTAACTCGGAGGCTAACTCGCAAGCGCGTTCGAGCAACTTCGCCCTGTACTTTGCCTCCTGCGCGGTATCCCCTGATGCCTGAGCCTCTCGGAGTCCCTCCTCCAATTGCCGGAACGTGGGATCGGTGTCAAGCGGGAGATATTCGAGCGGGACGCCCACTTTAGCCGGATCAAGCGACGATCGTAGACCTTGTTTAATCTTTGAAGCCATTTCATGCACACGTGCATTCAGCCGGTTTCTTAATTCATCAATTTTGGCTTCATCTCTATTGGGTGAGGACTTCTCAATTATTAAGTGCTGTTCGAGTTCTTTAAATACGGGATCGTCGTCGATAGGAATTTGACTTAGTGGAATAGCCTCAGGCTCTTGATCAAGAAATCTTCTCTCGCCAGCTAGCCTCTCGGTCGCCAACTCCTCCGCACGCTCACGAATACGTTTTTCAACAGCTTCTAGTTCACCCCTACGTGATGGATCTGAAAGTATTTTCGCACGCTCCACCTCCAATCGGGCAATTTCTTCATCGCTGTCTAGAGGCAGCACATCCCTAGGAATGCCACAGATCGTGGTCGGTAGGTAGGAATCACGATCCCGCACATTAGCAGCACGTGCCAGAAGTGCAACGCGCGCCTCAATAGCTTCCACGAGACGTTCAATTTCCTCTTCGGAAGAGTTGGGATCATTAATGAGCTTCAAAAGCTCCGCTTCCATCTGCATAAACTCTTCATCCTCGTTCAGAGGAATCATGTCAAGAGTGCGTCCTTCATATGATGAGGCGAGATATTTAGGTCGCTGTGCCTCCCTATAAGAGTCCATTAAAGCCTTAGCGTCTGCAGCCAATTCAGCTTGTAATCTAGCAATACTGGCTTTATTCTGTTGGGGGTTCTTCATTAGCTCTCGTAATTGCGCCTCCTTTTCACAAAAGGAAGGACTGGCATTCAGGAGACTTTTGATAAGTACGGGATCAATATTGTACGACTTAAGAAAGCCTCGTTCAGCACTTTGAACTTGATCAGCCAGCTCATGGGCACGCGCACGCATCGCTTCCTCTAGCTCCGAAATCAAAGACTCACTATCGGGGTCTTGATTCTCTTCGTCCTGCAATCGTAATCTCAGACGACGTATCTCCATGTCGTGAAACTCCGCATCACTATCAAACGGAATAGATCCGTTATTTAGCAACTCCTCGTCCAAAAACATGGCACGCTCCCGTTGCTTCAGATCACCTGCAAGTCGCTCAGCATAATCGTTTAAACGATCCTGCATCTGCTTAATATCCTGACTATTGCGATTGGGAAGTGCGCAGAGCTCACGCAGCTTATTTTCCATCCGACAGAACTCCTCATCTGAGTTCAGTGGCAATAGCTCGAGTGGAATTGAGTTTGGTTGCGGGTTAAGGTAAGTCCGTTCCTTCTCATGAGTTTTTTGCGCGATCTGACGGGCACGCTCGTTTAGCCACTCTTCTATCTCAGCTAAAGAACTAGCATTCTTTTCAGGGTCGCACATTAGCATGGCACGCTTCTTCAGGCCTTCCATGAAACCTTCGTCTAAGATGAGGGGTAAGTCCCGCCTTGGGATGCCTTCGATCGTAGTGGGCAAAAAGTCAACATTCAGGGTCTCCTTGTAGGTGCTCGCAAGATTTTCCGCAAGCGAGCGCAATGCCTGTTCAAGATCCGCAACTAAGGAAGCGTTTTGAGGTTCCTTATTGAGCTCATATCGCTGCCGCTCCAATGCCATGTACTTCTCATTCGCGTTCAAAATAGGATTCAGTTCGTTCAAGTCCAGTCCGCGTAAATACGCTGGCCGATCCCTACCGATAATCGATTTCGCGATTTCGTGACAACGTTGGTTGAGGGCCTCCTTCATCGCGTTGATTTCTTCAGGGCTCACGTTAGGGTCCTCAAGTTGCTGTTTAATCTTTGCGAGCTTCTCCTGGAATTCTTCGTCGTCGGCGAGGTTGAGCATGCCGAGCAGCACGCCCTCGGGCTCGCTATCACAAAAGCTCAGGTCCAACTCGCGCAGTTCGATGGCGTCGGCGGGGGTGGGCGTCACGCGCACGTGGGCCGCATCGATGCCGACCGCCTCCACCTCACACGGAACCGGGCCTGGGGCGTGAGAGCAGAACACCACGACGGCGTACCGCCCAGGACGAGGCAAACGGTGCACCAAGCTCATTTCGGTATAGCACATGGTGATCAAGGACCCTTTCAGGTGTTGGTCCTGCTCATCGTAAAGGTTCAAATTCAGGTAGTTATCCGACAGCACATACTCCTCGCTTGATGCGGCCGCCTTCGGTTGTTTAATAAGAATGTGTATGTCAGTAGGTTCATCGATGAGGAAATCAACACGACGGTCATTCTGGTTGTACACCGTAACGTTCGCCACGGCAGGCGAATTCCGAGCAACATTGGGCTTCAGTCGTGTTATTCTCAGGTTCTTTTCGTCATTTTCATTCAAATACCAGTACGTCAACAAAAATTTGCTTTTATCATGATACATGCAGCTGGGCACAAGGTAACAGAGAGAAAGCGGTGGAATGGTGATGAGGTCATTCACCTCCCGATCGCAAAAGAACAGCCCTCGGTGGGTGAGATCATGGTTATCTAACGTTACCAGGTACGTCGGAATT